AGCTTCGTTTTTATATTTCAATGCCTTACAATATGAGCAAACCGAGTTCATAGAACCAATAACAACACATTGGAAATTACTGTAGTCAATTGACACATCGTAATTGAAAGCAGCTCGAGTCAAACTTGCGCGATTATTGTTGATTGTAGCGCTCGCGCTTCACGCGTTTGTGATATACGAATTCTTTCACGTTCGTTTCGGTCGTCACGTTCTTGTGCAGCATGATTAGATCGGTAATTAACTTGGTTTGTAGCATTTCGGGTTCTTCTACCTAAATTGCTTCGTCTAATAGGAGACATATCTATATTATAGATTATTTTGTTAATAGTTTCGGAACGCGACATTAAATCCTCCAACGATGTATTCTGTGCTCCAACGCACACACGCACCCTGTTTTGATAGATATGATTGAATTTGAACTTTGTATAACGGTAATAAAGTGCAAATTGACTCTTTGACGTTAGGAACATACCTACATTTCTTAAACAACAATGAGTGCTATATACAATAGCTATAAAGCTCAAACGACTCTACGTTTTAGTTAGAAAACGTTTGTATAGGAAAAAGAAAAGAGCTGTTTTTAGGGTTTTCCGGCAACTATTCGAATTTTTCTTGACGTAAAATTGATCCTTGAACTTCAACGAACATTTAAAACAATAATTGGGCAAATTGGTCTAGGCGTTGTTGAGTTATACGCTTACCAACACATTTTGCGATTCATTTTTATATTATAGAAGATAGATTAGCAAAAGAGGATTTTGACGCAAACATTCTATTTGTTTGAAAGATGTACCTTGCTGGGGTGGAGTGCGGTGGGTCGGTCCGAGGAAGGTGCAGACAGCTGTATACATCAAGATGTTTCTCTCCGCCGCGTCGCCTGGGTTGGATGGGTCTCAAAGGCTACACAGACAGAATTTCTGAATTTCTTTTAATGTAAAAGAACATGCAAGTAATTATCGTGAACGGACATTAAATTTAATGGAAACGTACAGTAACTTTAAAGAACATGTACCTTAAATTTACATATTTACCTAAATTTCAATGCACTTATTACTTTAATTTTAACTTGCGTATACATCAATTTCAATGTTCTTATTATTTTAATTCTAACTCGCGTGCACATTAATTCCAATGCACTTATTTACATTGATTTTTATTTGTCCGTACATTAATTTTAATGAACATGTTTACATTAATTTTCAGGACAATGTGAAAACAGTTAATTATTCCATATATCTCTTATTATTCCACTAACTTGCATATCAAATATTATTGAAATAATGGTATCAGAAATTTGTTTATATTTATTTATTGAACATAGAAAAATGTATAAATATTTTACTTTTATTAATAAACAAAATTTTTATTATTCAAATATACAAAACTATCATCACTTGAGAAATTAAAAATTTGCAACTTATTACAATGTACACTTATTACATTGTATTTTGTCCATCTTTTTGCCAATTTAAAAACTGCAGAATCAAATTTTGTCCACCTTTTTGTGGCCCTTTATCTCCTTCTGGTGGATTAATTTTTGTAATTTCCCTCAAAGTAATACTTTTTTGTTAATAAATAATATTTATCCATCACGGCCGTTTTACATTGTTAAAAAAATAATAAAAGTAACTGATAGACGCAATGATTTGCTCGTACATAGGAACTGAGTACAAAAAGAAGAAAGATACATAAACAATAAAAGAACCAAATGAAAAAGAAAATCGATTTAATGTGAAATAAAAATTTTAGTAATATTATTGGTAGATGGTAATATTATAATCATATAGTGTCACTTCTCTTCTTTGCTCATTCTAGAAATTACTAAATCAGAAAAATTATGGTTCGTAAGGATACAGTCCATTCTCTATTTGACAATATCCATTCTTTAATACAATTTTACTTTTACTTAAAACTGAGACCAATGGCCAATTTATTAAAAATTCTCAAGGATGTAATGTAACTACTTATTTCTATGTTCTATCAGTAGTAATAATTTATGTAATGAAACATTATTTTTACTTTCCAACTCCAACTTACGTTCGTATGAATCCGAGGGTTGTTTCTAATTTTGCAGAATAGGTATATCGAAAAACGTAATAGCTGGCAAATAACATTATCACACCTTCGATAACATTTTTACAAAATACTGGATCTTTTTGTTCCAGGGTTACAGTTATTTACTATGGACTTATTACGTAACACTCATTTCCTAAACTTCACTGGGTTCATTCTTATTTTTAAACACTTGCAATCTGCCACACATATCCATCAATAGGCGGAGATTAACATATTTAATGAAAATAATATTAAATAATGTTAATATTCAAATCACATTAACTTATGTTAATTATGAAAATAATATTAAAAAATAATTCCAATTAGTATTAATCAGACTTTACCTTCACAAATACAATATGCCTGAACAGCTTGAACGTTTCTCGATGTTAAGCGGTTAAGCGAGCCGCTCTGGGAAACTGCTTTGATGAGAACAGGATGTGAAGAATAACATTCATAAGTTTCACACGGTTTCATATCAGCAAGTTATGACGTTTCTTTGGTTTTGCACACGTTTTATAAAAGTCTACTATTACTCTAACACGTAAAACACGACTACAAAAGCCTCAGAATGCGAGTGAATTCGAAACACTTGAGATAGGCAGACTGGGAAGCCAGCCGCCCTTTGTTTTGCCTGCAGGGAACCAGAAGGGTTCGGAATTTCCCAAAATAAAGCAAGACGAGACTCCACAGCAGTCAAACGTTACAAAAACGCATCTCAATTGACAATATCGAATGTTCAAATACAATATTCAACTAAATAGTCTTGTGGAAAAATGGTGAATTATTGTTCAGAATAAAATATAAAGCCAAATAAAAATTATATTTTAAATTTATTATATGTTAGTTAAAATAGTGGAATAAAATATTACTAAGTTTTTAAACAGTGACTATGTTCCATAATTATGAATCAAATGTGAATGAATTTTAATTTAAACATTAAATTTAATGTACAAACATTAATCTCGTTTTAATATACAAGGTACATTACGTTTCATGTGCAGTCGAACATTAAATCTACATTGATTATTATTTAAACATTAAATTTAATGTAGAAGTACAATTTAATGTAGAAGTTAAACTCCTTTTAATGTACAAGGTACGTTAAGCTTAATGTACAGTCGTAAATTAAATATACATTGATTTTATTGTAAGCATAAAATTTAATGTACAATTTAATTTACATACATTTACGTACATTACTTTAGAAATATTAATATCAATTTAATTTACAGTGCACATTAAGATCATGTACAGTCGTACACGAAATTTAATGTAATTTCGGACTATAAAGAGACGTCGATTTATAAGCTAGTGCGCTGGGGAGTGCGGGAGCCGGGACATGGGCAAGTACCAACGCGCACCGTCACATCAAAACATCTACGTCGTCTTTGGAGCTGACGAAATATTATAATGATTTTATTTAATCTTGTTTAAGACTTGGTCTTGGTTATCAGGATGTGTGTGCCGCCGTAATACTAATTGAAAACTCGTACTAAATAATTTTTTCAGCTTGTTAATCTTCAACCAAATAAGAAACACGTGCCCTTTGCGGCTTAGATGGAGTTAAAGTGGCGCGCGGGTACGCAGCAGACACATACGCTGGTCCAGGGTACGCATAGCCTGCAAGTGCTTTGCGCTCGCTGCTGGAGCTTTCTGCGAGTGCGGAGTGCGGGCAGGCAACCCCTAGGCGCGCCTCTCTGAATAGTGCAAGTCTTCAAACTTCCGCCTCTGCTCACGACCTGGCGTTTGTGAGAATTGCAACATCCAGAAGAAATGGTGTATCTTTCTTACGTTATTTGATGAAATCTGTTTTCCAAAAATTTCATGTGCTGCAATACACTTATATGTATTTCTCACGAATGTTTGATTGAAGAACTGACAATAGTGAATTTGTAAACAACCCATTAGTTAATTAATTATTGTCAATATTTACAGCACTATGCGACAACAGCAGATGCTTTCCCGAGTTATTTGTAGGCTTATTGAGAGCATCTCTTTAATGCTTGTGCCATCCCTTAAAAATGCAATCTCATATCAGTATAACTCAAAATTAATAAAAATATTAATGACAAAGTTCCTAGTCATTTACTTAAATAATTTTGAAGAGAAAGGTGATGTTGCAATATTACATTATTTCTCGACGAATACTCTAAAATGTGTATTTCCTCCGGCGGCGATCTGCACCGGTTAGCGTTGTACTCGAGTAGGGCAGTGCACGCCAGCGAGGTGCGCACGAGCTCAGGGGCTCAGGAGGTCGCGCGGGCTCTGCTCCCCAATTCGCCTGGTGGTGATCGGGGAAACCACGGCATACAATGTCAACATTTTGAACATAATATTTTGGAATTAATACTTCACTTTTATATTTCATGTGTTACTGTAATTATATTTTTACTTCTGAGAATGATCAAAAATATTAAATAGAGATTAAATATATTTAATTTGACATAATAAATCGATTATTATTTATAATCATTATAAATTATGATTAAATATGATAAATGTAGATGAAATATAATTTGGGTTCCGGACTACATATTTTACTTAATAAAAATCGAGTTGTTTACTCCCGAATTAACAGAACATTTAAAGGTTTAGTGAATAAATTTGTAAAACCACATTTTGACATATTGTGTAATTTAATTCTTTAGTTTAATTTTAATTTTAAATTTTTAATTGAGGTAGTGAGCTCAGTCACATTTGTAATATTTCACGTCACGACATTAAATTTTGCTGCATAATTGAACATAAGTATTTTCTATCCTATCAAAGCCTTACTAATCATCAAAACGAAGTATCCCAAACGTTATTCGAACCAGACGGCGCCCCAACAGAAGGAATGCCTCAATGCAGAGCAGCCAATGTCGGGAGCTCCCCCCGCGCAGCGTGCAGAAGCGAGCGCAGCGCCGCGCAGCGGAGGCGGCCTGCGCGCAGGCGACGGCGGGATGGCGTCGCAGCGCGCGCTCGCACGCGCAGGCCAGCAGCGCCGCCGCCAGCAGCAGGAAGGGCCCCGCCAGCTGGGCGGCGCGCAGCGGCTCGGGTTGCGCCGCCGGGGCGGCCGGCAGTTGGCCGTCCAGGGCGCGCAGGTGGTGCTGCGCCGCCGTCCACTGGCCGTACAGCCCCCCTTGCACCGCGCGCTGCACCACGCTTTTGAACCTCTCGGTGAAGAAGTGGTTTCTTCTCACTTTGTACGTGTGGTGGACTGGAGTATACAGACGTTCCCTGACCGCATGCATGCTTCTATGTTTGTTCTGAAAACTGCCAACAAGTGAAACAAACGTTAGTTGAGATGTCACTATTGCGCTTCGGTTCCCAGCCGCAATGTCCTCAAACACTGCTTCAAATTCGTCGACAAAATGAAAAAAACGTATTTTTTGGGCAAATTTTTCGTTTACGTTTTTCCCTCCCTTGTACAGAGTTTCATAAACATCCTTGGAGATGGTGGCCTCGTCGATGGTGACGGGGTCTCGGTGGTAGACGGGCACCGTGAGGACGCCGAGCAGGAGTCCGCTGTAGGCGTTGCCCAGCAGCATTCCGAGGGCGAGTGTGCTCACCGCAGCCACGCGCTCGGCGCCTCGCAGCCTCGAGAACGCGCTTTCGCCGGCGACCAGCATCCGCACCACGTCCAGGACAGCCGCGACCGCTGCCGCGCCCGACAAGGGCCGAGCGTAAGGCGGAGCGGTGGCGGCGCGGAGAAGCCACCAGGCGCAGGCCAAGGCGGCGACTGACGCGCCTACGGCGGCCCACAAGGCGCCCCGGAAGGGAAGAAGGCCGACCAGAGCGAACGGTACGCCCGGCTCTCTCCGTAAGAACATGTAGAGGTCCTCTTGGGTAACGCTGCCCGATTGCTCCCAGCGGAGCGTGTTGCTAACAATTTCGGAATCCAAACGAGCGACGCACGTATCAGTGTCCAGGGGGGAGCTACTTTGCTTTTTTGGTATTCTTTCTGAAATAAGATGAAACATTTCGAGGTCGGGTCCGTCGCTATGGTGAATTCCTTTTCTATCTGTCCAAGCACCAAAGATATACGAGGACATATCAAAACGCAAAAAATAGGGAGGTTTTAGTATCAAGTGAATTATCTCGGCATTACTGTAGAGAGGGTTTTTACAAAACCTCGACATTGGGCGCGTATGCCAAACACCCCGTGGATGAATTGTGTAGGCAAGCGATTCCTGATCTTGCTCCGGTCGTGGATCCAAGAGAAACAATTGTCCCGTGCCAATTTCCGTGGCGAACGACCTAAAATGCGTTAAGATTTCACTTTTTGAAGCTCGTTGCCTGCCCACAAGGACGACGATGAAAGTCCCCCTTGCGTTGACAGCCACTTGCATGGCGACCGCCTGCCAAATCCCGCGGTTCCGCTCGTGGCTGTTCTTGGTGGGGAGGACGAGGAGGTGCAAGGAACCGCGAGAGAAAACCTGCACGTGGTAGATGGAGCTCCCGGTGAGGAGGAGGACGGGGGCGCCGGCGCGGTGCAGCTCCCTCGCGAGGAAGCGCGTGCCGAGGGACACGTCCTCCCGGGGGAAGAGCAGCGCGGCCTGGCGGCGGGGTCGGAGCGGCGGGCAGCGCAGCAGGCCGGCCAACTGCGCGGCGGCGGCGGCGCCCACGGCGTCCTCGGGCCACGGCGGCTCCTGCACAGCCACACATCGCCACAGCGATTTCGATGTCGACGAAAACATCCACAAAAACATCGAAGTCTAAAATATTGAGGTTTTAAATATGATAAAACAGATGGTAGTTCCCCCCGACTCCATTTTCAAATACCAGTTATATTTTATTAAACCAGTTAAAGTACTTTTGACTTTATAATCAGCGCTGTAAGAGGTCAAGCTCTAAATGCAGTTTAACGATATTCCCACGTACAAAGTAATGAAGAAAGGTAGCAACAACGCGGAGAGGTTGCGAATAACGGAGTGTTCCATGCCGTCTAGGGATAGACAATGTTAGCAGTTGTCCACAAAAGAATTTGGTATTGCGCTTTATACATATCGTAAGATTTGTTTTGAGCCCCTACCTGCAAGGCTGCGCGCCCGCGGGGCGAGGGGCCGGCGGAGGCGGCCTGAAGCTCCACGTGGAGGCCCGGGCGCGGCCACGCCGCCGAGGCGGCTGCCGACAGCTCCGCGCACCTGGCGACCAGGGCCGGTTCACTCAATGTTAAAAGGCGGGGGACTAAGTTTGTTTCCTCACTCACCCGGAC